TTTATTTATTTTTTTGTATATTGTTATATAATTGTTTATTTTGTGCTACTGTGATAAAACAATTTCCCTTGTGGATCAATAAAGTGTATCTAAATCCAAGTCTAAGGTAGGACGACCAGGGCAGGATGTGCATACTTTTATCTGACTGTGAAGTGAGTCCTCCTCCTCATACAGACGATCTTTTCCAACAGCCATTTCGCATTACATTTCCCATCATGCACCGCTGCTGTCACAACAACACTTCGCCATTTCAGGTTGAGGGGGGCCGTCCGTAACTCCCGCGAAGGAATTAGGTCAACTCGAGCGGAGGTGCCGGAGTTTGGCAGTTTCTTTACTTAAAAAAAATAAAACCTTTCCTGACTAATTCTCCATCGTCGAACGGCTCGGTTATCGGGTCCCGATGCGTGTTATCTGGCTGGTGCGAAGGAGCTTTTCCAGCGCGGGCCCGGGCTGAAGTATCAAGTCAGTGGTCGGATTTTCCTGCTAACAGCTAGTAAGCTAGCTGTGTGTAAACAACAAGGTAGGATGTGGTAGCCGAGCTGGCTAGCAGTGCTGTGGCTAAACTAGTAAATAGCTCTGTTTGAATGACCTGTCGACAAAACTTTGAATATATTAATGAGTTTCATATGGGTTATGTAGCACACGGAAGCATTCCTGTAACACAAATGGGCTAAATTGCTAATATTTCTTGAAAATTAGTTTTACACTAATACCAAACAAGCTAACGTTAGCAACTTAGCTAACGGATACATTCATTGACACTGTCACTGCGTTAGTTAAACTTGGCAAGCAATATTAGTGTCCATTCAGTATAACAGGAGCTCTGGTGCAACTAGGCAAGTGGCAGTGTTAGCTATTTAATGTTGAATTCAGTGGACGTGCTTCGTAACGTCACACTGGTGGTTGCTCGTAACGTCGTAGCTACATATAACGCTGCTGTGTACACTCTATTGATAGAACAGATTTCACGAGTTACCAGCTTTCTCCCATTCTCCATTCCCTTGTAGTCTTCTAAAATTATTACGAACATAATAAAACAGAGAAATGCACTAAAACACAGGAAATACAACAACAGAAAACGTCACAGAGAAAAAAACTTGAATGGACCTTCTGTTCACACTAATCGTAGTTGCTAAAATATTAGGATCAACTTGATGCAGCAGTTTTATTTGATAGAAGCTTCAAAGACATGCGTACACGCACTTCTCAGCAGTTACAGTGGGGCTGCAGCTAACAGTTATTTTCATCATAGACTTATTTGCATATATTCTCAATCAACTGTTTTTGTCCATAATATTTTTGAAAACAGTGAAAAATAACCAATATTGTGATGTTAACTAGTAGTGTTAAATGATTGCCATCCAGCAAGGCAAGAAGATGCATACAATTCTGACATTTGAGCAACTAAAACGAGAGAATTAAAGTGTCTTTTTTTTCTCTATTTGTGCTTAAAATAAGGACTAAAGAAATTAGAATTTTTGCTGCTTCATAAAGGTTAGTTGCTCCAAAGTAGAACTGAATGATTATTGATTTAACATGACAGAAGAGTTGATTGTACATATAATAGCAACACTCTTATTAGGAAGCTGGACCATTGAAAGGATAACAACCTACTCATGAAAAAATGTTTGAAGCCTGACTTAGATTAGATGTAGCAAAAAGGGTATCAGATGTAGTGATGGACCTTCAACAGATAGGCTCAGTTAAACAACTGAGATACTCTGCTGGTATGTCTTAATGTGTATCAGTGCTGCAAAGTGAGGATAGCGAATTTGCAAATATGTTAACCACTTTGTGCTCATCAAAAGGGCTTTTTTTTAAACAGGAAGCTTGAAACAAAGTGACAGGATTATTGGATTAGTTAAGATTTAAACTGAATGGACTTATTGTGCAGCATAATACATGCTTGATTAGAAAAAGCTGTTGTCTTTTTTTCCCCAGATGAAGCGCATGAAAGAAGGAGACGAGGACAGTAACGGCTCTCCCAGTAAGAGCCCGCCAGAGGCTTGCAAGAAGGTGCGCAAGATGAGCGGGGAGTCGGAGACAGTGGCGACCAGTGAGTCACCAGACTGTAACTGGGCACGGCTGCCTCAGGAGCTCCTGTTACACATCTTCCAGTACCTTCCACTGCTGGACCGGGCTTATGCCTCTCAGGTGTGCCGTGGGTGGAACCAGGCTTTCCACATGCCTGAGTTGTGGAGATGCTTTGAGTTTGAGCTTAATCAGCCAGCCAGCTCTTACCTGAAAGCTACACATCCAGACCTTATAAAGCAAATCATAAAGAGGCACTCCAACCACCTGCAGTATGTCAGTTTCAAGGTAAAGCTGTTGTGTCTTTTGTGACATGTATGTCCAGATTCTGGGCTTAAATGTTTGCAGTTTACTGGCACCTGAAATTATATTGACTCGTTTCATTTCGATTTTCAGGTGGACAGTAGTACGGAGTCTGCAGAAGCCGCATGTGACATTCTTTCACAGTTGGTGAATTGTTCCCTGAAGACTTTGGGACTCATCTCTACAGCCAGGCCTAGCTTCATGGAGGTTCCAAAGGTATAATTATCATTAACACAGGGGGTTTAGGTGTTTATAGTTTCCTGTTCTTCTGGTTTGTGAGGAAAATCAAAGGATTTTTGGTTTTGCAGTGCACATGCCTATCCTGTTTTGCTGTCTCAGTGTATTTCTAATGAGGTATTCTAAAATTCTTTTTGAGTGTTTTTTGCAGAGAGGATAGTTTTTGTATTGTCAGCGTATCTTAGGATGCGACTGAAGCACTCGAACAAGGACAGCTTTGTAACGACTTCCACAGCTTCAGAAGGACAGAGGCTGATATTGTGCAGGTGTTATTTTGTCTGTCTTGTGCACACTGAGATCTTTCTATGAACTTTTGAAAGTCACAGTGATTTGGCAAGAGTTAGCTAATGACTTAAAATGTCGTCAACATAGAAACATGAAACTTCACATACACATGTGAATGTTTTTTGGGTTTTTTTTTAAGCTCACACATTCCCCAGAACCTGGTCTTTGAGGCTCTGGTTTTGTGGGACAACATAAGCCTAACACAGCCTTTGCTCACTTGAGAGGCTTTATCCGTTACTGCTAACAGGTGATATATGAAATGTTATACCTGGGTTTTCTCACACACAATCCTCATAATGCTCTCTGTATAGTTACTTCATTCTGCCTTTTAAAATCTCTTTTTACTTGTGACTTCTCAAAAGAAAGCTCTCAAAATGAAATTACTGCAATGAAACCAGATCTCAAAAATGTTCTGCCATATTTCTAAAATAACTTACTGATCACCTTGACTTGCATATTTTCTTTATAAGGATGTAGTTAATCATATACTAGTCAAAGAAGGTAGAATATAAACAATGAGACACAAACTATGATCTAAAAACAACTGGATATTTCCACTATATTTTCCCCAGAAACACCTTTCATTATGATTGTATATAGTTGACGGCACCTCAGAATCATCTTAAAGATAAACAACCGTCTGAAATTGTGTCATAGACTAATAACAATTAAGTCCTTAATGAAAGTACATTTAATTGTGGAGCTTTTATATTCGACTACATAAGCTTTAGGTAGGTGTGCCTAAGTGTTCTTTTGACACCAAATTTGTCACGTTTTCCTGTCATCAACTTGTCAGATTTTTTTAAACCTGGAAATTTACAAATCAGACAGACAGAGGTATGCAGTTGGTTGTTTCTTCAACAGCCAATGCTCAAGGAATGCTACGCCCAAATATTGACATTCATACGTGTGGTAATCAAGGTACAGTCAAGAAGTATTCAGTCTGTAATCCAGTTAGCTGTTGTTGCCCAGGTGGAGAGCTACATGTACACAATGGGCACAGATGGACACACCCTTGCAACACTCCATTCCCAAGTTGTTTAACTTGTTTGTCACATGTCCAGGCCAAAAATCTATCTGATCTCAGACCAGCATGATACCAGCAAATGTCACAATTCCAGAAATGTGGTGATGTGTAACAGCACCATTGACTTTTCCAACATTCTTGATACCAAGAAATGATAAATCGATAAAATCAATCTATTTTGGAATAAAGCCCTACTTTTAAAAAGATTCTGCACATGCATTATATTTTGATGAACTCCTCCTGGTTCTCTCTGGTAGAGTACCAGGCCGACAAAAGACAAAAAAGGCAAAAAATATCACAAACAACCAACCCATTACTTTTCTTTGTGACAGTAAACCAAAATTTACATTTGGGTAGACATCATTCAAATCATAATTGATTTAAAGGGCCACCAGAAGATGAACCCTGTGATTTTAGAAGCCGCTTCTAAAATGTGCTGTCACATTTTAGGTGTTTTGTATTTCACTGTGTCATGTTTGTCTCTCCACAGTCTCATTTTATCTCAGCCCTGACTGTGGTGTTTGTCAACTCCAAATCATTGTCTTCGCTGAAGATTGATGACACGCCAGTTGACGATCCATCTCTGAAGGTGCTGGTGGCCAACAACAGCGACACCTTGAAGCTGCTGAAGATGAGCAGCTGCCCTCATGTCTCCCCTGCAGGTACAATAATTTTCCTTTTGATGTTTTAGTGCTTAAATGAGAGGAAGCAGCTTTCTCATGTTTTTGGCTTTTTTTTGTCCGATTCTTTTGGTGCAAATGCTGGTAAATTCTCAAATCAAAATATTTTCAACCATGCCTATGTATCACTTTTAGTCAAATGTTTCCTATTTTAAGTCACAAGATGATGTTTTCCATTTTGTGGGTTATTTAGATCCTGTAATTTTCTTGTCTCCTTTTATACAATATTGTCATTTTGCATGCTGAATTATATTATGAATGAGCCTTTATGTGGTTGTCCTGTTTCTCTCTCTTGCATACATTTTCCTGGAACTTCTCTTAATTGCCAGCTAAGATGACTGCTGATTCATCAGCAGCTTGTCAGGCAAACCTAGTGGGCCATTTTTAGCAATAATCCTAGGACTTAAAAAGTAATGAGTAGCATTTAAAGAAATACTCTGTCCATTCCTTTAGGGATCCTGTGTGTGGCAGACCAGTGTCATGGGCTGAGAGAGCTGGCGCTGAACTACCACCTCCTGAGTGATGAGCTCCTGCTGGCCCTCTCCTCAGAAAAACACGTCCACCTGGAACACTTGCGCATCGATGTGGTGAGCGAGAACCCCGGCCAGCACTTCCACACCATCAAGAAGAGCAGCTGGGACGCCATGGTGCGGCATTCGCCCAAATTCAACCTCGTCATGTACTTCTTTCTTTATGAGGACGAGTTTGGCCCTTTCTTTAATGAAGAGATCCCTGTCACACATCTCTACTTTGGCCGCTCAGTCAGCAAAGAGGTGTTGGGCCGCGTTGGCCTCCACTGCCCCCGTCTGGTGGAGCTGGTTGTGTGCGCCAACGGCCTGCGTCCTCTGGATGAGGAGCTGATCCGCATTGCGAAGCACTGCACCCAGTTGTCGGCCATCGGTCTGGGCGAGTGTGAGGTGTCCTGCAGCGCGTTTGTGGAGTTTGTTAAAATGTGTGGCAGGAGGCTGTCCCAGCTGTCCATCATGGAGGAGGTGCTGATTCCAGATCACAAATACTCCCTGGATGAGATTCACTGGGAGGTGTCGAAGCACCTGGGCCGGGTCTGGTTCCCAGACATGATGCCGACCTGGTAGAGTTTGTGGCGTGGAACGTTAACGGCCTCCATGTTTGCATTGAAAAGCCTTTAAATGCTCAGCTGTAGTGGAATGTTTGGTGCCAACATGGGGAGCATAAACTTGCTGAACTCCTGTGTGGAGTGCATGGCACGGATATAAAATGGCATCCAACTGCTGCAGTGTTATCATGCCATGCAAACACTACAAAAATCTCTGCCTGTTGGCGTCAACATGGACTGTGGAAAACTGCTTTGCCTAATCTGAAAATGGAGCTTGGCAAGCTGACTTCCTCCCACATTAGAACAGATGGAGGTGGAAATATTTGTCTAAAAAAAAGCAATGTTTTTATAACTACAAATTGAGTTATATGGACATTGTAGCTTGGTTATGATAATCTGTATTATGGGAGATGTCAGAGCGTGTGTGTGTGTATGTATATGCGTACGTGTGTGTGTGTGTGTGTGTTAACGTTTTTCAACATTGTGGAGTAAATTGGGACAATTAGATGCACAATTGCATGTTGTTACACTACCACTCGGCCTACTTAAATCCAGTCTAAGTTAGCAGCTCTGCACTCTGTAACACAATATGGCATTGGAGGTTTCCAAGTAGCTGCAATGTTGTTTGTATATAGGATGTGACAGAAGGTGTTTTGTCAGGTGTAGCTGAGGGAGGGATTCACTTAATTTTACCCTCATTTTAAACTAATTTAAACACAAGAGAAGCAGTAGTTTTGGCGACATCTTGCTTTTCCTCCTCGCCTGAGCTCAATCATGTGTCGCAAGACATGATTGTTGGAAATGTTAGAAAGTCGGCGGATGGAGACAGAATGTGTACATAGGTTTCTATTTGTGATGTGAAGGTGTACAGTGTTGATCGATGTCATTGATTTTTATTTTCTCCAAGGTTGTGCAGATTATTTCATTTCCTGCAACACACATAGACTGGCGTGATAAATGAGTTTTTCTCTGTTTTGGTAAAAGAAGGTTTCTGTACAGTCATAGATTTCCTAAGCACCTTATGTGAATACCAAATGATAGTGAGGACAGACGGAGTCCTTTTGGCCAAAAAAAAAAAAAAAAAATCAAAATTTCTAATGATGATTATTTATACTGTATGGAGTCTCTGCATAATCAGATTCCAAGGAAAGTATATTGAAGTAATAAATCTATAATTACTGAGAAAAACAAAACAAAAAAAAAATGTAAATATAAATAGTGCGCAGATTCGGCTGAATTTGGAGGTAGACATTAATGAGTCTCCACACTTGATGCTCAGATTGCTTTGTAATCGTTAAACACCAGACGCGTCTCTGCAGCTCTTAGCTTATGGTGCACACTGTTTCTCAGGTGCATTGAAAAAATTTATTTCTTATGTAGGTTTCATTGGTATCTTCTGCTATTTGCCTGTTCAAGCTCTAAACCCTGGCTCTCTGTTATGAATATACGCTCTCCCATGAGCCCCCCATTTGCTCTGTATCGTGTCACCATGTCGTATATGCAGGAGAGGGAGCTGTATTCATCAATTACCACTGTCTTTGCAGATATCTCTCATACTCCTGTCCCAACCGTTCATTCATTCATTTCCGTCGAAAGAGATTTGGCAAGTCAGATGAGTGAAACAGACTTTTTTTTTCCTTTAAGAAGGAAGTCAAATGCATCTGTATATAAAACGCTGTGTGTTTGATTATTATGAATAGAAATGTACTTATTTCTTTATGTCACCCTCTGTCAGGGTTTGAAGTTTCCTTAACCAACAGCTCGTGTCTTTTATAAAACCAGATTGCGAGTTATCCTTTACTAGATGGATCTTTTTCATAACGTAGTCACTAGAGAAGTTAAACTGTGTAATTTATTGATATGAATACTGCTTTTGTAATTCATTTGTTTTTTTTTTTTCAGTTATACAAAATAAGCAAACAGCGAGCAGACCAGCAGCGAGATTTGTCGTTCTTTGGTTTTGGCACTGTCACTTCTTTTTGTTGCATACAGGTGGTCCCAAAGTTTAGAGTTCACTACCACAGACTTTCATTGGAGGAGGCTGTTAATTTTGTCTTTAAATTTGTAAAAGAGGATTTATTTTCCAACAGTGGCACTAAAAACGTGAGGTTGTCATGCACCTGTTTGAACTTCAGGAAATATGAGGAGTACATGGCTTTCCAGTAACTGCTTCTGAATCCTACTGATCATGTTTATGAAATAAAAAGGAGTTACATTAACAGTAGAAATGAGTACTTAAATATTGAGCAATCACAAATCTTTTGACTTGTGTCTGTATGTGTTGTTAAACACTATTTAATTGTGTTTAAGGGATAGAATTTGAAAAGTTAGTGGTAGTGGACAAACTTGAAGACGGAACTGTATGTCATTAGGATGTGTTTCAAACTGATTTCAATCTTTTCTCTGACAGACTTCATTCCTTTTATCCAAGTCGAATTTTATTTAGACTAAAACTGAGAAACGCATTGCAGGAGGTGCAAATGCTTCTTAGTATTTATTGGGTTGAATTAACATAGTCTTTTGATAGTATTGGTCTTTTATCACTGAAGTAGAAACCTGTGCTGATTGTCTGCGCTCATGTAAATTAGCATCTCAGCGGTACAGTAACATATCTCCTGATTCATTTGACAGAGTTTGTGCAGTGGCTTTGAAGTGAAGCCTCATCAGTAATTTTCACTGAGAGCATTGGTTTTAATCACTTGTCTTTATTGGAAAATTCAGCTGGATCAGTAAAACATGTAAACAGTAAAACAACAATAAATACAGGTCGAGAGGGGAAATTATTTATCTTTCATCATAAATATGCCTCTTGTCAGTAATTGTTATTTTAACCTCGTTTGTTTAGAGAGAACTCCAGTAAGTTTATTAGGAGTAAACTGGTGTTGACAATGCTGTCCTAGCTTTGCTTCTCTATGGCAAATGCTTTGTCTATTTTGCTTTACTGGTCACCTGTCTTGAAATTAAAATATTGTTTTGGACATGTGATCTTATACAGTAATAAAAAAAATTGTGAATGTACTTTGTGTCTGCTATGTCATTATCTTCCTTGTGATACCAACACATAGTTAAACAGAAACTGCAGTGGTTACAGCTGCAGGTTATCTTAACATCTCTCCTGAAATATAATTTCCTCATTGCCACAGCTAATGCAAGAAAATAATTAAACAGAAGTGTTTATTCTGTCCACAATAGAAATGTTTTTCTTAAATTACTACATTTGTAAAAGATCTATTGTCCTAAACAGTGCAGCAGAAAAGATTTTTTAACTTAAACATCGCATTACATTCACAATATAACCAACTGCTGTGTGCAGATTTCCAACTCCAAGACATCAGGCAGGTACAGAGCAAGTGCAGAAAAGAAGGCAAGGAGTTAAGTCATTTAAGCAACTGTCTGGAAGGTTATCAAGCAAAATTTTGTTTAATAAATAAAAATAATTTCACAGTGTCAATCGTGAGTTTTTCCTGCTGTTGTGATGAAAATGTTTAAATTTCTATTTTTTCTTACTAGTTCTAGCTTATGTTGGCCCAACATTTCAGGTTTCAAATGCACCAATAAAGGCAAAGGAGGCTGCAGGCCATCAAATATGGATGTAAAAACATAAACCTCAAAATATATATTAAAAAATGCACTTGAATTCAGCTGAAAGATACACACAATGTAATTTTGAGAGAAATGCTGGATGATCAAGGTGGTCAAGACTAATTTCTGTCGGCAATCCAAGGTTGTTAATACTATTAATATCTTTGGCTTTTAGGCCAATCAAAAAATTTAAAAAATGTGATCTTAGTGGTCCAGTGTGATATTAAGGCAAAGGCACCTCTTCATATGTAATCTGCATATATGGAGGTTTCATTGGCAGATGCCAGTACTCAAAGTTGTAGTAGAGGTAGAAGCTCTTGTCCAGCACGACATCCGTAAAAGCCTCCAGCAGACTGATGGCGAGTTCTGCAAACGACTGGTGCGGCCTGAAATTGTGGTAAAATTTGCGGATGTCCACGGCCAGATTTTTCAAAGCAGGCTGTCCGAATATGTCGCTGTCGTTGCCAAGATACGTGGGCTCTCCGCTGTACAGGTAGATCTTGGTGTAGTTGGTCTGTGATCGGCTGGATAGTTTGGCTCCCAGCTCTTTCAGTTTCCTGTATGTGCGGTGGACAAACTGGGAACAGTCGTAAGACTCGAACCACACCGTGGCGTTTGGGCCGGGGTCAGAGAGGACTGTCCACGTCTCGTAGTAGATGCCAGTCTTGTTGTCGTCCTGCACCCACTGGGCCAAGTCATTGAACTGGGACCCTGGAGAAGGTAAGAAAACTGATTTAATACCAGAAACAAGTGTGAATTGGAAAGTGTCTGAAGCTGAATGAAACAAGTTATCAGTCAAAAATCAGAACTGCTTTTTTGGGATGTGGAAACAATCCAGACCAGCCAGTCTCAAGTCTGCCTAAGATTATTTTTCTAACTAATTTTCTTGCTAAAATGCTAAACAGCTTTTAAACTGGCAGATCTGACCTTTAGAAAATTTCCAAATTCCAAAAGAGGCAGTACTTAGAAAGAAGAGCCATTCAAATAGAAAAAACATCACTGGCATACAAGGAAACACCATTTTGCCCCCAGTTCTCCTTTTTTTTTCCCAATGTGGATTTCTAACATTGCCTCAATGACATGACTAACATGGCTCAATAGAAAAGTGAACTAACACAGTTCCATGGTAATGACAGCTAATTTAGAATCAGCAATTACATCTCAATCAGTGTCAGAACTAATACATCTACCTACACTGTCTGATCAATGCAGCGCTTGAAATAAGATAGTTTCATATTTAATAAAACGTTTAGACCTTAAAGAAACAGCTTCTCTAGTTAACAGTGAATTTTTTAATACGTATTTGGTGCTTTAGTATTTACGTTGTGAAAATCTTTGGGTTGTGGCCAAAACAAGACATCTGAGGACATCATCTTCAGCTCTGAGAAACACTGATCTACATTTTGTTTTTAAATTTGCTGACATTTTACAGACAAAACAACTGAGTGATTAATCTAGAAATAACTGACAGATAATTCAGTGTTAAAAATAATCGCCAGCTGCAGCCCTACTTAACACAAAGTGCAAAATAATGGAGGAACAAGAAGAAACACGTTTCCAAACAAACTTAACGGTTTAAAGAATACGAGGACTAATTTGCATCAGGGTGAAGCTACACAGAAAATACTTGTTAACAGATTCAGGAGATTTGTTGATAATGATAAAACTGCAGATTAGCGTCAGTTGTATCCATTGATCATGATAAATGTCATATATTACCCGCTGGCTTCTATGAGCAAAGATACAAGATCTTACCACTGATTACTCCTATTTTCTCCAGAGTGCCATTCTGAGACCAGTGTAAGTCATCGATGCCTTCAAAGAAGCAGGCAGCTCCCTGGTTGCACCAGAAAGGCGCCTTCATCTCCGCTCTGAGGTGAGGAAAGGTGCAGTTTCCCAGCTGAAACAGCTCGTACCACTCCATGGTGTAGTTGGCTCCAGTCTCTGAGCTGCTGAACCCAACAGCATCATGCATGATATTCTGTCAAACAAACACAAATATCATTCTGGCTTTGTGTAGACTCGGGAAGACATACGAGGTGTGTCAGAAAAGTTCCAAGACTGGTGTCACAAAAGATATATTTCAAACTCAAACTACAAACTAGGAGTTTTCCCCTTCAGATGATCAACCAGCACATCTACAAAGAGATCCTGCAGCGTTTGCTTCGTTCAGCGCGCGAGAAGAGGTGAGAGTTGTAACAGGACAAGTCGTGGCTGCTTCACCATGACAACGCGCCTGCTCACAACGCCCTGAGCATCCAAAGGTTCCTGGCTGAGAAGAACATCGCCGTGCTGGAGCAACCTCCCTACTCACCCCACCTGGCTCCGTGGGATTGTTTCATCTTCCCCAAGCTCAAGGGGGTCATCAAGGGGACCCGTTTTGAAGACATCAAGATGGCAGTGACGACGGAGCTGCGGAGGATCCTGGAAGAATCTTTCCAGGAGTACATGGGGGTGTGGCAGAGAAGGCTGGGGAAGTGTGTTAGACTCCAGGGGGATTATTTTGAAGGGGAAAAGTTGTAGTTTGTAGTTGAAATATATCTTTGTGACACCAGTCTTGAAACTTTTCTGACACACCTCGTACATCTGTGTTTCTATGAATACACTCACACAGCTGCACTTCTGCTTAACAGATGCTATTTTAAATAACCAGCAGCACTCTACTGTCTTAATTTCAGTTTCACAGAGTAAAACAATCAAGAACATAAAGAACATCTGTCCTAAAGCAGGCTATTTTATGCCTTAGACTGTATTTCTAAGCTTTTCCGTAGATAAGCAGTACAGCCTTTATTATATTTTACTTATCTGGTGTTAGGGAATAGAATCCTTATATATTAACCACTTTTTAAAATCTTTTATTTTAGATTATAATCACAGTTCTTCAGATTGTTAAATCTAACAATTTTTGAATAAAATAAGAACAAAATAGTCCACAAAAATGTAATTTATCATCGAGACAAAAGTATATGGTAGTTTCTTTATTAAAACAAAAAAAAAAAACAAAAAAAACAAAAAAACTTTCTGATATTTCATAAACAAGTCAGGAGAAGGTTTATGTATTTACATCAGCATTACCAGCTTGTCTGATACGTCTCTACAGACTGTGGTGACCCAGCCCCTCCCTGACCTCTGTGTGGTGTTGAAAAATAGAATCATCAGCGACATGTTTTTTTTATTCAGTACAAGAAGATTGCAACACTCACCAGTTTTCCCAGCAAATCCCCATACTTGAATTCCCACACCGGCGTCTGCAGCCGGTAAATGGAGATGACATCACTGTCTCTCATGAGGGGAATCCGTCCATTCGGGTCTCCGGTGGGGCAGAACGGGTACAGAGCTTCACAATAGGAGTCCACAGCTGGCCGATGGTCAAACCGCCTGTTGAAAACGTGACAAATGAGAAATGTAACGTCAGTAATAAGTCATCGGGGGCTCTCGTACAGTTCACACTTTGATTTTACAAATGATAAAACATTGTCCTGAAAATAAACTATGAATAACCTCATATTATAGTAGAGCTCATATTATAAGTATTTCATAATTTGTGTTATATGCACTTCATTTTAACTGCTTTAAAGTGCTCCATGTTTCCAATGGCTTTTGGTTCCTCGTAACTGTCCTAATTAAAAAGTTTTCTATAATTACTGTATAGAAGTTGATTTTATAAGTCCTGTCCTATTTTATCTTGTTGTATCTTACCTTTATTATATTTTGTTTTACAAATTGATTTGAATCCTGTCTTGCTTTATGCACTTTTTTAGAACTCAGATTGTTGTGCTAGATTTTTTTTGTCACACCCTTTTTATGGACCCACACACTTTAGGCATTTAAAAAAAAAATTCTTGGAGGGTACATACTGTTTCTGCTCCTTGACTTACAGTTGCTACAACAAATAAACTTGATATAAAGGTCTACATTAGGTGACAGAGTTGTTCGTCGTGCATAAAAGAAAAAAGCTTTTACACTAATAAAAATAAAACTTTTAGGAGCTTTTTGTTCTTAAGAGAGTGCACATTTTTGCTAATCAACATACAGTAAAACATCATGCCTGGCAACTATGACACAAGCTTAGAAGTTAGAAATAAAGAGTAAATTGTGTATTTTTTTCAGTGTTTATGCTATTTATTAATGATCACAACATGTAATTTTTGTTCATTTAAAACTGCAGTACATCAGTCAACAGGAATATTAACTAATTTCTGTCACAATATTCAAAATTCAAAAACGTTGTAGTGTTTTTGCACAAAAAAATGCATCTCTAAGATTGAATTGTTCATATGGTTTTACAGCCAGATGTTCTGGAGTCCAAAGTTTCTGCAGTCATGTGAACGCACCAGACATAACTCTGCAAACTGGATTATGTGTGATCAATTCACTCTATTGTTCATCACTTCACTCTATTGTGTATCAGCTCTATAATGTGTCTGACACCGACAAAAAGTCTAATTCAATCAACATTTAACATCAAAATGTGCTTAATCAGGAGAAAAAGTTGTAGATTTTGACCAAGACCGACAAAACCAGTAATATTATTTTAATGTTAGGTCGATGATGAATGAGTGCAGAAGTTTTCCAGAAGTTTTAAAGTTTCTCCAGACAGACAAACACTTAATAAAAGGTCGTCACAGAGCTGAACGTAGACATGATGTGGGTGTTTACCTGTAAGGAACCGGCCACTGCTGCCGTCCAAGAGCCCCGGACTGAGAAACAAGGTGAAGAACCAGCAGCAGCTTTAAACACACAACAAGCTCCGAGTGCGACATGTTGAAGCCCCGAAAGCTAAAGACGACAAACTGCACAAGTTAGGATGATTGTCTTCCCATGATTCCTGCCACCGGAGTGACTTCCTCATTACTGGTCACATGGTTTTGTTGACGGAATCACATGACAAGAAGAAGAACTCTGTCAGCGTTAAACTGTGTAAATAAACACAAATATATATATCTATGAATATTAAAACGATCACTATTGTACACAAAATAAGAATTCAAACGTGTCATAATAAATAATAATGATTAAATAAGACGAAGTAAAAGTTGAATAAATAGTTTGTAAATTAGTAAAATTGTGTAATATTCTCCTTTCATTTGGTTGTTGTTTTTTTTTCCCAGCAAAATTTTGTTTTAAAATTCTTTCAATTTAAATACTTTTATCTAGCGTTTTTTATTCTGTACTTGTCACACTAATTTACCAGCTTTTTTAAAAACATGTTATCCCATGTCACCTCTGGGCTCAATAATAAAAGACTAACTGGGACAAAGTTAGATAAAATTACACAAGATAACATATGAAAGAAGTTAATACATAAATGGCAAAATATCAAAACTAAGACTAATAAAAACAAGCTGGTCTGCCTAAAAATAATTCTTTGTTAAAAACCATATCAACTTATTAAAGTTTATATATAAGTGCTAATCATTTATTTTTATGTCTGTTTGAGTATGTAGGTCCCATTTAATGTTCATTTTCTATATGTTTTTCTGGAATAGATGTTGATTTAATTATTTATTGATGGCTGATAACGTCTGATCAGTTTTCATTATGACAAAAATAGTTGATTATTAAGCATTATTAAACATAGTTGTTATTAATAATAACAGCACCAATGATAATGAATAAAACTTAGACACTTTTGTGTCATTATCATTGTTAATTATATGACATATATAATAACAACAATTAATATTACTATTATTATTACTATTAACATTAGTAGTAGTATGACACATTTATATTATTAATAATTCTCAGTACTTTTACTAAAACTATTACTACTTCTACTCACAATAATAATTCTTCTTTTTCATCTTCTTCTTCTTCTTCTTCTTCTTCTTCTTCTTCTTCTTATTATTATTATTATTATTACTCTTATTAATTGTGCAATTTTTTTGGATCACAGGTTTAAAAAGATATAAAAATTTGTCCTTATTGCAATTGCAACAAATTACCCTCTGATATTGGAGGGAAACCCAAAATTAAAAATAAATAAAAAAATAAAATAAAAAAGATGGAAACGGATGTCTGCTAAGTGGTGCAATTACATTCTTTTATCATTTTGTGTCTTTTTTTTTTTTTTCTTAATTTAATTTAAATGTGTCTTATTTCACACATCAGCTGGCCTGTGGGGGAAGCCGCAGTGTTCAGATCTAACCACCAGGGGGCGCTGACGATACTACAAGTTGTCTTTGTTTTTAGCAGCGCAGAAGAAGAAGCCGTAGCCGCTGACAGTCCGCCATGCTCACCCTGCTGCTGCACCAGTGTGGACGCAACCTGCTGACACCGAGGACCGTCCGGGCCGTGAGCACAAGCTTGTACTCTTCTCAGATGGGGAAACGCGTGGCCGTGGTGCTGGCGGGCTGCGGGGTTTATGACGGCAGCGAGATCCACGAGGCCTCCGCTGTTCTGGTTCACCTGAGCAGAGGAGGTGCAAGTGTAAGTCTGCTGGACTGATCCGTCTGCAAGAGCTCACAGGGTAGTTTAGCGTCTGCGAAGTAACTGCTTCCTTGCAGTTCGTATTGTATGTGACCCGTGAGTGTGATTTGGCCTCTGCAAGCTGTTAAACAAGCCTGAAGCGTAGTAAATGACACGCTCAAACTTCCCCAGTGGAGCCAGAAACCTTTCTAGTGCAGAGTTAATATTCAGAGCATGAAGTCAGTGTGATGAGCTGAAGGTTAAACCACCGTGCTGCGTTTAGAGGTCTCCTCCGGTCATTGAAACTCTGGTAGGAATAATAGGTTGATTCTAATGTAGTAAAGTTATTTAATTAAGCAAAAAATAGTTAGTCTCAAACTATAACTACCATAAAAGTGATATTACACACGTCAAGGTTTCAAGTTGCAGCATAAAGCAGGCATTTTAAAATAAATAAATAAATGAATAAAATCAAATCAAATGAATAAAAACAACAAATATAGTTCAGATCAGTTCAGACAATTTTATTTATGTCAACAGACAACCAGATATAGTTAGAATTTCAGAGGAAACATGTAAAAACAAAAGAAAACATGAGGACAGAAGCAGAAAGAAGCTACAGTAAAAAAATAAAATATACAGCATGTCATATCAAAATCTCTAAAATAGCCATACTTTTTCAGAGGTGTATGTTTACGTAAAATGCATTAAAAAATTATAAATACACAATATTATAATATAAATGTACAAAAGTAATTATTTAAATTATCATTAATGTAAAAGATTTTAAAATCCCAAGTGGGCCGAGATTGTAAAATATATAAAGAACATAGTAAAATGTACGAGGACAAAATAAAATAACCACAATTAAACCAATGTAAGCAGGCTCTGTGGTTAAATGTGCTGGTTTTCAATAATAATCGTTGCTTTTTCCTGAAGCTCCTCACATTACCACGACATGGATGACTGAGAATCTCCCCAGACGTGTTTTCAGTAATGATTTCCAAGAAGATAATGTGTTTCTCTGGGGGGAGGAATTCCACACCTTAACCTTACTTAGTGGAAATCAATTTTAAAACCAATTAAGCAGTGAAGGGGAGCAGGAATATGAGTAATGTGGTCACCTGTACAGAAGCAGGTTAAAAGCTAAGCAGCAGCGTTTTGGGTTTATTGTTTCCTTTAACTGGAACTGGAGTAAAGTGTGCTACAGTTGTCAAGTCTGCAGGTGATGGTGACCTTTTGTAGGTCTGATAAAGAAAGAAAGGATCTGATGCCAGAGGTCTGCTTTAAACAAAAACCACACAAGACTTACAGTTATCCATCAGGTGGATAAAGGGCCCAAATAAAATAACAAGATTGGTATTATTTATAGATTTAGAAGAAGCAAATATGATTCCGTACTGACACAAGATGTCTCCCACTCATTTGTGTGCATTAAAAAATTTCAGTTTCCACATCACGCATCTGGAATCTGCAAGTTGGGCCGCAATTTGCTTCCGAACCGTGTCACAAAATCCCGGGCCTACAAACATCCTAAACTCTGATTTAAGGTGAACACAAAGAAACTTTCCTCCTTCAGCAGGAGGACGTGAACACCTCCTCCCATAGTGAAGTTCAAACATCCAAGTGGCAGAAAAAAATAAAGGAAGATACATTTTTGAGCAGCCTCAGTAATAAAACACTTCATACGCATGAATACATTAACTTCGTTAGTATACATTTTATGCTGGGACGTTCATCCTTTCATTGATAGTTAAGTAAAAATTCTAATGCAGATCCTTTTTACTTGTAATGAAATACAATTTTTAAGTGAGGGATTTGAATTCTTCCTTTATCTTTACTTGTCAGTGTGACCCCAATACATCAGGCTGCATGGAAACTAGGGACTGGCTAATAGTTTTTTTCTTTCTGTAAGCCTGATAGCTGTTGTTATTATCAATTAAAACCAATACTGGGGCCAATACATCTGCTGCAAAAATGGGGTCAGTATTTAGAAAAATCACAGACTTTCACTTCCCCGAAACCCTTTTGTTAATTTACAATTTCCATCTGTTTAATTAAAAGAGAACTCGTTGACATTTATCCTTCAGTGTTGATAGACTTTTACTCATGAATAATAATAATAATAAAGCTGCAACAACTAATGGATTAGTTGTCAGCTATAAAATTAGTTGCAAACAATTAAAACATTTTTAAAAATGAAAAAAATATAAAATATTCTCTGATTCAAGCCTCTTAAATTTGAGTATTTCCTGGTTTCTTTATTCCCCTGTGACAGTAAACTGAATATCCTTTAGGTTGTTGACAAAACAAGACATTTTGGAATGACAGCTTGGCCTTTAGGAAACACACATTGACTTTCACGATTTTCTGACATCTTATAGACAAGCGTCTGATTGATTGTTCCCGTCAGTAATCCACAGTGAAAGTAATTGCTGGTTGCCGCCGTAGTAATCAGTCAGACGTCCGAGCAGTGACCAAAGACAGACGGACACAGCTGGATTGGAGAGAATGATCAGTCGACCCCAACAGAAACCCCGCTGCTCTCAACTTTACCGGCCTTTCAGTGTCTTATTCTTGCACAAGGATGTAGCTGTAGACGAAGACATTGTTAACTTTGTGATACTGCTGCAAACCCAATCGCACACGTACGCAACTGTAACTAAAAACCCACCACCCACAGTGAATGATGGCCTCGAAGACTGAATCGATTTTACATATTTTGCATGTTGCAGTATTCATAAAGGTCTATACCTCTCAGCAGGACCATATGCTCGTATGCAAAGCATTTCCTGTAGCAGTGAATGATTCAGGGGAAACATCTGATTAGGATTTTTCTATCAGATATTCTGATATAATTCTATAAAGTCAAGGCTCTGTTACATAGTCACGACAGGTTTATTACATAATTGTGCATTATCCCATGAGATGTCATCAAAAGTGTGACTGTCACACAAGGAGGGCGACATGAATTTGTAAAACTAATGACACGGCACTTTAAACCCTGAGTCAGACGCGCTGCATAATGTATATCCTACATTGCACACTTTGCTATTTGCTAATTGCATTGTTTGCAATTTCGATTAGAAATTGATTCATCTCAGAGCCCCAGTTCCCCGTCATGGCATGTTTGCCAGCGGCTTTAGCGCTCCTGACAGTTTTGTTTTTTTAATAAAGACCAATGAGAAGTTTTAATATTTAATGCTGCTCTGACAAAACAAGCTACTAGCAAATGTCACTTTGCATTCAACACGTGTTTGGCATATTTCATCAATTATTGAGGTTATTGACTGAATATTTAATTAGTGGAGAAAAAAAAAAGATCTGTAGGTAACAATGACTGTTTGCTGCCATGATGGTGTCTGGTATTTTTTATGTTATTACAAAACAAGAATCGTCACCGCTGTTTTTATCACCTGCAGGTGAACATGTTCGCCCCCAACATTGACCAGATGCATGTGGTGAACCACCTGAAGGGCGAGCCTTCTCAGGAGAGCAGAAACGTGTTGGTGGAGAGTGCAAGGCTGGCCCGTGGAAACATCCAGGATCTGTCTAAGCTCAGCGTCAAAGACCATGACGCTATTATTTTCCCAGGTTTGTCACTGACAACATGGTTGGACTGTAAAGAACTCATCCTGACTGACTGTAAATACACTGAAAAGACAAGATGTGTTTTAAACTATGTCCCCTATCATTATTTCTGAGTAACTTTGCTCCTTAATCTACCAAAGTCCTCCAAGACCGATGGAGCACTTGTCACAGACGTCCACCCAGGAGGTTAAATTCAAACTTGATCCTGTTTTTGGTGTTTTGCAGGCGGTTTTGGGGCAGCGAAGAACCTCTGCACATGGGCAGTGCAGGGGAAGGACTGCTCTGTTAACGATGAAGTCAAAGCCACCCTGCAGGCGTTCCACAGCGAGGGCAAACCCATCGGCCTCTGCTGCATCTCACCTGTCCTGGCTGCCAAGGTGTTTCCTGGGTGTGAGGTCACCGTCGGCCTCGAAAAGGATAGCAAGTGAGTCACTTTTTAAGCATCCTCATTGTGTCTTCTTGCACAGTTTAGTCCAACCTGCATCTTATTTTCATAGTTTTCCATTTTAGTTTTGCACTCAAGTTGCTTGTTGAAATCTGCGAGCACAGAAACAACAAACTTATTTGAAAGGAAAATGCTTTTGGGGCACTTTTTTGACTTCAGTTGGTAGCAGCAGCGAAGAAAGTCAGGAAATGTGGAGGAAAAACGTAGAGGGATGACGTGCAGCTAATGGTCTAGCCAGCTGGAAATGAAGCTAGGGGCTGGCTGCTCAGGATATCTGTGTACATGTGATGTACACCTTAACCTACCATGAGGGGACATTTCCCTTTTGAATAGTATTGCCAAGCAAAAGGAGATCAGACAGCCAAAGACCAGGATGAAGACCCAAGAAAGATTACAAAAAGACATCAAAAATGTCCTGTATTTATCTTTTCTGCTTCAAACTCCCCAGTAATACCAATAATACTGCCAAGTTTAAAGTGGATCAGATATATGATTGTCGAGATATGTGAAGAACAAACACACACACACACACGCAGATATTAATGGATTTATTAGTTAGATAAACCCTTGAAGAGATTCTTAGTCTCACACTGACACTGAATAAAATAGTTTTTCCTTAGGTCCTTAGGTATTAGTGTGAATTATTCTTTTCCTTGCAGTTGACAGTGTATCCAAGGAAAGCACATTTTTCTAATAAAATAGGCAGGTACATCTTTGTGCACAAACTGCTTTGTTCCTTTTTAAAGATACTTTAAAGTCTAAAATACTACAGGTGCAGTTGGTTGAAGCTGCTGTTGTTGTAGGTTTACGGCAAATTATTAAAATGAAATCAAACATTCCAATTAAATACCTTAAAATATTCCATGTAGATATTCCAAGTCAAGTTTTTTTTTGTATTTCTCAATCTCATATATATCTCAATGGACAGTGTCAAGTGCTCTAAGTAGTCAAAAAAGAAAAAAAAACTTCCTTCCTCAGAGAATTGTTTTAAATTGAATTTACAAGAAACTATGATAAACTTTGTAACAGCAGACCATAGAGTAGCTTTAAGCTCTAGCTTAGTTTCTGTTGTGTTTGTGTCTTCCAGTATAACAAAATCTGAGTCAAAATTACGGTCATTGTTGGCCCAGGATTGCACAACTACGTATATAACAAAACGTATAAGTGGTTTGTATGTGTCAGACTTTGTACAGCTTAACAGCAGCAAACCACAATGTTGAAAAGCGTTTCCTGTCAACTGTTGAGAAATCGTACTAGTCTAGTATAGAAACTGATTTTGTTTTTGGTGTTGTCATCAGCTTTTGTGTGCTCTTCTGTAAGTAGGTCCTTAAATGTATAGGTGAGTCGGTGGAGAACACGAAAGAGAAAAGGCATCAGTCTACTTGAAGAATGTCTATCTCAGAGCAGCGCTACTGAAATAAGAAGCCTTGCCTGGATGTCAGGTTTACTGGAGCCTTTGTAGACCTCAATCTGTTCAAACAAGCTAAGTGGTGCTTGAACCACAATGTGAAACAAAAGAGATTTAGGGAAGAACTTTTAGCTAAAATGGCAAAGGCGGAAAAAGGGAAAGACGTGTTTAAAAGTCACACAGCTTACATTAATAACTTTTATGGTAATAAAATGACTTTGATCTCCAATTTGTTATACTTAATGAATATTTGTTGGTCAAAATGCAGTGTGTAATGGACAGTAGTGTCACTGTTGTACAATGGTAAGTCTTTTCAAGATGGCGTGATAGCTTGTTGACAGACTGTTCAGCTTTTTTCTTTTAACATAGAACATCATATCATCTGCATATAAAAACATCACTAGAGCAGGGTGGCTTTAAATCCTCAATGCAGACTGAAAAGAAAGTTAAAAGAGGACTGATAACACTATCTTGTGGAACTTTACATTCAGTTTAATTGAACATTCATGTTGAAGACCAGTTGTACCTGTAATATAGAACAATTTTAAAAACATCACCAAAATTTGAGGAATTCCAGTTAATCTGACCAACACGTACGTTTTTTTGTTGTTTTTGTTTTTTTTACAGTGTTGCATGATAAATATAAATTATGGCCACATCTACAGAAATCGCATCCACGTTTTTAACAAACAACAACCAACCCTTCAACCTTATTTTTTGCATGTATTTTTTTTTTCTCTGTCAGGTATCCAAATACTACTGACACCGCAGCGGCTATCAACCAGCTGGGCTGCAAACACGTGAACAAGAGCATCAGCGAGAGCCACGTGGACGAGAAGAACAAGCTGGTCACCACCTGTGCCTACATGTGTGACGCTCCGATCCATGAAGTATTTGACGGAATCGGATCGATGGTGCAGGACGTCCTGAAACGTGCCTGAATCGACTGAAACTCCAAAAGATGGTGGAAGCGTGAAAATGAATGGTGGGCTGTCGTTTTAGAGAGCTTTGTGGTTGATGTCTGCTCAGCTGGAAGGCGTTGAAGTAGCACCTTAGTTTAAAAAAGCACTTAAACATACTCCTGAAATGTTTGCGGTAAGCGCTACATGGTCTGATTTTTTTTTAGATTCATCTATTTTTTGACAAATATTGCAGTTTTAATCAATCTTTATGGATTGTATTGTGATGCAGTGGTTTTGTCTCATGAAGTCAGTGTAAATCAGATTGTAGAACCTCACAGCAGTTGATATTGTCCACAAAAACATAATAAAATGAACAATTTCACCGTTTCAATTCACTTTATTTCAAACCCAAGCGCCACAGAAGGTACAAAGTATTTACAAGACGATTATTTATATTCTCAGGTTATTAAAAGTATTACAACACTTCACACAGGTACTTTGGCTTTGTCAAGCACAATGTATTCAGAAAATCTTCATGCTCTGTCGCTGCTCCTGTGCATTACTTGTCATTCTCAGATATAAACCCAACACTGAGCATTCTCTCACCCTCTCAATGTTTCCTATCACATCCACCACCCCCTCCACGCCCTCTGTGCACAACACCGAAGAGGCATTAACGCAGAACTTCTCCACCAGATGCTCCTGACTCAGTGGCTTCCTCCAGTGGCCATAAAAGGTATCACATCTGTCTGCGTAGCTCTGCCCCAGCTCTGTTTCTATCTCAACCTCACAGTACATTTTGTCAAAGCTGGGTTGGTTATCTTGAGGCGTCTCCACCTCGACTTTGGACAGCAGCTCCTTCAGAGACGGCCGGTTGATTTGAGCCTCGCTGAAGGAAGCCACAGTCACTTTGTCATCCAGCAAAGCGGAACAGGCGTTGAACTGAAATGAGTGCCTGGCTTGGTGCTCTGTGACGGGTAGGGGGCGGTTAACGTACTTGGATGGAGGTACTCGGAGTGTGACGCGCCGGATTTGGCCGAGGTCAAAGCTCCCGATTGTGTTCTGAAGCTTTTCACGGGCTGCCAGAGCCGCGTCCACGACCCAGTGCATCCCCAGATGAGCAGGGATGCGCTTGAACGCCACATCCTGCTCTTCCAGAATCCATTTAAAGGCACCAGAAGCTGGATGGGCCATCGCTGAAGGGCTGTAGTCTTTGTAGTAAACCCCAAACCCGTGGTCAACATCCAGTATGGCTGGATTTCCCTCCAGTCCTATCTGGGCCAGCTGAGCGGCCTCCAGGCCTCTCCGAGCAGCGTTTCCTATGTGGAGAGGTTTGGTCTGTGTGGCGGCGTTGGCCAAGGGAGCCCCAGCAGAGGAGGCTGCGATAGCCAGAGCATGACTGCACTGTGCAGGGGACAAACCGAGGAGCTTAGCTGAGGCTGCGGCGCTCCCCATCACCCCAACGACGCTGGGAGGGTGAAATCTGAGAGAATAGAGGCGGAGAGAGGACCAAAACAACAAGATTAGGTTTAGTGACGGTGCGCTTCAGGCTGAAATGTCTGGTTCATTCATCAGTTAGTTGAATGTTAGAGGACAATCTGTAAATCATTAGTCATTTTTCAAGAAAAATGCCAAACATCCACTGCTTCCAGTGTGATTTCTCCTCTTCTTTGTCATATAACACGCAGAGGTGGAGTGTAACTAAGTACATTCATTCAACTCCTGTATTTGATACAAATTTGATATACTTGAATTTTTTCGTCTTCATGTTTCAGTTTTAGTTACTTTAGAAATTAAGATTTTTGCACACAAAACATACAAACAACTCCTAAATGTATTTTTTTTTATAGAACTACCTACTTGATAGACTCCAGCCTCCCTACAGAGGATAAAGCGATGTATAGATAATGGATTGATGGACTTTTTACCCTGGTTATATAAACGTAACTACAATTATTAGAACTTTTACAAATCAAACAATCAGTTGCAAAATGGAGAAAATAGTCAGCAGATTAATCTATAATCAATATAACTATTTGCACTTGAATATAAAATAGCTCAAAATAGGCTCAATTTTAACCAACTACAACAGCAAAATCCTGCTTTTACATTAGTGCATTATGGATGATAATCTAATGATATATAAAAGGACATTTTTTTCATTAAGTACTTACATTTTTAATGCTTAAAATAATAACACTTGCATAGTTTTACCTAAGTATCCATTTAAATGCAGGACTCTCACAGAGTACTTTGTCCACCACTGAGAGTGATGTCACGTGACAGGAAACTGGAAATCTTGATGTAGTTTTGGGGAAGTTGGTGGAGATAACAAGCAATTGAATTATTTCACTATTTTCTGCCATTTTATTGACCAAGTAATTTATAGATTAATCAAGAAACAACAATCAACTTAAATAAACTGAAAATGACTTGAAATCCTACTTATGCTGTGTGTGGTTGCATGACGGGTCAAAAAACACAAACTTTTCAAAGTATTTTTTTTAATTTATTTTTTTGCCAATTCTTTCGATTTCTGACAAAGTTTATAGCAGATTGTCTTTTCTTTTTTCTTTCTTCTTCTTTAAAAAAAAAAAATCAACACACTTTGCTGTGACTTTTTTTTTTTTCCATTGCAACAACTTTCTACTGAAGAAACAGTAAAAACCGAGCAACAACGGTTGCTGTTGATTTTAAAGTGTATTTTTAAAATCCTGAGCACCAAAACAAACCAAGCTCCGATCACCACCTCAAAATCAAAACCATTGTTTGATACCACTCGAAGTAAGTGTTGCACTTCTTGTAGTTTTACATGAATCTGCCCTTTAATTCTCCAACATTTACATCAGTTTACAACATGCACTTGAGCTCCGAGTTTTCTTTATATTTCCAAATGTCTCACCTTTCAGGAATGTTGTAGGCCTCTCTGGAGAACTGCAACAGTCTGCCCTGCACCTCGATGCCGACGTTGAAGGCCAGCAGCAGGTCCAGACCAGAAGGCTGACTGGGCAGCGTCTCTGCTAGGGCCAGCAGGGCGGGTAGGACAGCTCCCGATGGGTGAGTTGCAGGGTGCCAAGTGTCGTCAAAGTCCATGGAGTGAACCTAATATTAGACACAGCGACAAAGCTGGTAAACTGGATATCAAAGCTATATCTTCTACACATTGTGATGTTTTTATTTGACCAAACTTACTGCGATGCCATTGACGAACGCAGCATATTGAGGAGGGAGAGTTATCTCTGATTTTCCCCAAACGCTGCTTCTTTCCACGGATGTGAACAACTGCAATCAAACAAATTAATATGAGGATAAATGCACTCTGCAGTAAAGCTTCACACAGTTACAAATGGCAGTATAAAGGAGATTATATCTAACTGACTGGAAGTAACAAAAATGTGACAATCAGCAGTTAGGTTTGTCAGTTTCACAACAAAACAAATCTTCTAATGAAGGCAAATTGATTTTATAATGATCACATACTAACAAACAGACACAAGCAGATGCAATGGGTGTGTTTTTAGTATATAAATACTGTTTTACCAACTAGTATGTAGAATTTGATAGGCAGCTTTATGGTTCCTACTTTACTTCCGTCAAAGTTGAATCTTCCTCAGTAGATGTTAATGTGTTATGTTATACAAACCGTACCTGGCTGTACATAAGAGCCTTGTTGAAGATGGCTGTCCTGGTTCCTAACAGTCCGACCCCCAGGTTGTCCAGCATCATCCTTTTGCTCCTGTTAATTACACCATCTGTCAGCTGAGCGGTGTTGAGGGCATGGATAGCAGCTCCAAAGCTCTCCGTAATACCCTGCAAAGGTGAAACAGGGCCAGTTAGTCCAAAACTCCAAGATGCAAACCTCCCCAGAGACAGTACAGTTGTTGAGGATGATCTAACCAGCTAAATCATTCAATATTCTGCACGTCTTTAAACCCCCCAAAAATGCTTTCCAAAAGGCACCTTAATAAAATAAATGAAATCCTGACAAGATGTAAAAACAAGAAAACACATGAGTATGAAAGAAACCAGTAGTACCTTGCGTAGCATTGTTATATCTCAACAAGCTCTTCAAGTGACAAAACATCCAAGTGCAGTTGGCTTTTATAGGTAAATACACTGTCTGAGGTCATGTCTTCTAAATTTCCAAAGTGGCTAAAATTCCCCATGATGGGAAGTTGTTACTTTCACAATGACTGAGCATCATCTTTTTCAACTCTGACTGAATCGGGAAATGCACAAAACCTCTTGTTTTGTTTAAAAATACTTTGTCGTGAAAGCTACATTTATCTTCAGATAGGAAAGAAGTTAAATCGTTTTCGTGACTTAAGATGTCTGTTATCAAAATCACAGAATTAAAAATAACATTTTTATCCAGAAACAAAACAAAAGGAATATCAGTTTAGTATTTTTTATTGTTAACCTGTAAGACTAACATTAGAAAAGTAGTACTGGATCTTTTTTTTTTTTGAGGTTTACGTTCTGTCTGTCACAACTTGTTTCATTCTGAGGTGTCACACTGTGGAAATTTGGCTTTCTGCAATGGGAAGTTTGGAACAAGGAAATGATTCTCGAACAACACACTCACCGACCGTCACATGATGGTCAGACCTCAACCATCTGAGAAATAACAAACAGAGAGCAGAAGCTTTGACCTCAGACAAACAGCTAAGAGGCCTACTGTTACACTTAAGTGTGGATTTTGCTGAGAATTTCATTTTTTATCATTACACATCATCCTTTACTAAGTATTTTCATCTCATTTTGTATTTTCTTCTTAGTAGTTTTCAAAGTGATTCTAAATTTCACATAATCACGTGGATGTACGTGTGTTTACTTTTCCTGTCAGTGTTTCTCTTTTTTTTTTTTCACCAATTGAAAGTGAAAATAAGATACCAAAGCTTCCCTGTCTTATGGTGTCCTTGTTCCTAAACACTGACCACATATTAAGGATGTGACCTGTTGCTAACTGCTGGCTTTTGTGAAATATTAACAATATTAAAGTTTCTCTTCTCGTAATTCCTGGTATCTCACACTTCTACGCAGAAAACATCCCCATAAACCTGAAAAGAGCCGGACTTCCAGCTATACATCATTACTGACCGGGATTGACCACCAGCTCCTCGTTTACAGACAAGTATGAAGTGAAGAAGCAGGTTTGTTTTGACCAATTTCACTTTTTATTTTCTCAAATCCACACAGAATGTGACTTTAATGAACAAGGATAAAACAGAGACAAGAAGTGAAGGTGTCTCTATACATTCAGAACTGACTGCATACTGTAAAAAATGTACTGCAAAAACCAACCAACCTCCTCCAAAAAACTAAAAACTGTACAAATCTGGCAGAAAAAGAAAAAAAAAAGAATACTGTAATCATCAAAAACTGTAAAACAAACAAACAAAAATGTTGAAAATAAAGGCAAATATCTGTAATAAATAAATAAATAAATAAAAAAGAAGAAGATATTTTTTGAGGCTCTAAATACATCCATCCATCCATTATCTATACACCGCTTAATCCTCACGAGGGTCACAGGGGGGCTGGAGTCTATCCCAGCTGCCTTAAGGCGAAGGCAGGGGACACCCTGGACAGGTCACAAGTCTATCACAGGGCTACACTTAGAGACAGACAACCAAGCACACTCACATTCACACCTACGGACAATTCCGAATCAACATGTTTTTGGACTTATGGGAGGAAGCCGGAGAACCCTGGGAGAATCCACGCTGCTTGGGGAGAACACGCTGTTAACCAACAGCATCACCTTGCAGCCTGCTCTAAATACAGTAAAACTGTAGTTTAAGGTCACACATCATGAAAGAACAAATTACTATTTGTAACAATGCTTGAATTTTTTTTTGCTGTTGTTTTTGTACAGTCAACATGTAAATAATTAATTTTTCAGTGATTTTACTCGATATTGCCTATAACTTAACAGAACAGGGACAATCCCTAAAATAACAATACATTAAAAAAGAAAGAAAGAAAGAAAGAAAGAAAGAAAGAAAGAAAGTACTGTTAAAAACAGCTGTAAAAACGTTCATTTTTTGCAGTGTAGGGAGTTGTTGATCTTTCTTCTTTCTTCAGAAGGCTGTTCCAGGGTTGTGATGTTGTGTTGTTGTGTGAGCCTTAGATGTTGGCTGCATTTCCATCCCAGTTGCTATGGGTGTCACTCTTTCCATATTTTCCAACCATTTCTCCTTCAAAGAAATAACTTAGGTCAGTTGCATGCTCTTGTGTGTTCCACTGGGGTTTGCATTAATAAAAAAAAAAAAAGTCAAAGATAATTTATATCATTAATTGAATAAAGCAATCGAGGATTTGATATTTGGATATTTAAGTGAGGCATTAATTAAACCAGAGACTATCTATCTATCTATCTATCTATCTGTCTATCTATCTCTGTGTGTGCATGTGCGTGTGTATGAGAGAGAGAAACGTTGACGCGCGCTCATTACGCACGAGACAGTCATTTAATAGTTAAATGTTAATTTAGGAGTCACCCCGGCGTGCACGCGCGCACACGCACGCGTTGAGCCCAGACTTCATAAACCAGCGGCTGCCTCACAGCTCCTCAGTGTTTCCACTGATCCCACATCAGTGCAGCGGCGCAGAGAGAAGATGGCACTGGCCGACACCGAGCGCGGAGTGTCCAGCTGCGGGGACTCGCCGTTCTCCGAGATCATCGAGCTGAACGTCGGCGGACAGGTTTATGTGACCAGACACAAAACTCTGGTCGCCGTCCCAGACTCGCTCCTGTGGAACATGTTCAGCAAGAAGTCGCCCAAGGAGTTGGCGAGAGACAGCAAAGGGCGCTTCTTCTTGGACAGGGACGGCTTCTTGTTCCGCTACATCCTCGATTACCTCCGAGATCTCAACTTGGTCCTTCCGGACTACTTCCCCGAGAAAAGTCGACTGCAGAGGGAGGCGGACTTTTTCCAGCTGCGGGACCTCGCCAAGCGCCTCAGCCCGCGGATGAGTAAGGACAACTCGATCAGCGAGGAGATCAGCCAGAGCGACACAGAAGAAGGCGCGCAGCAATGCGGCTCCTCCGGCGGCATGGAGACTTTACGCACCGTGTCCGTGAGCGGGGCCATGCGCTCCCCGTCACTGGACTCCAGAAAGTCGGGCTATATCACGATAGGATACCGCGGCTCGTACACTATCGGCAGAGACATCCAAACCGATGCCAAATTCAGGAGAGTGGCGCGCATCACGGTTTGCGGGAAGACGTCTCTGGCCAAAGAAGTGTTCGGGGAGACGCTGAATGAGAGCAGAGACCCGGACAGGCCCCCGGAGAGGTACACCTCCCGGTACTATCTTAAGTATAATTTTCTAGAGCAGGCATTTGACAAGCTGACAGAGGTGGGCTTCCACATGGTGGCCTGCAGCTCCACAGGCACCTGCGCCTACACCAGCAATGATCCAAACGAGGACAAAATTTGGACAAGCTACACCGAATACGTGTTCTGTCGGGAATAACCATCATCCCATGTTTGTGTAAATATACATTTCATAATCTATAGGGGAATGTCTTTAGCAAGCTGGTTGTGCTGAATGGTAACATTTGTTAAGGGCGACAGACTGCCAGATATAGTTCTATCATTAGACACAAAATGCCCCCAAAATAGATTTTACGCACAATTTTTTTGCAGGATGTCGAGATATGCAGTTCGGATGTTTTTAATGTGAGTTGATGCACTCATCCAAAGCCCTGTTGCGTGGTAAACACCAAGAAAATGTCATCATCTCCATCTCATCAAACTGCATGTCAGTGTTTCAGTCATATCTGACTCAGTGCTGTGTGAATTGAGTGGCATCCAGGAACAGACAAGCAGCAATTAGTATTCAGTGTCATTGTAACTTCTAGGCTTTGCTTGAGCACTTGTTTGGCCAAGTTTTGTATTATCTAATAGCTTTTATGACAGTTCTATCACTGACATGATTGTAAGTGTATGTGGAGTGTTGGTAGAGTTGTATTTGTTATAAACCTGTTCAAATAAAATCTTCTACTCTGTTATTCTCAGCCCTTTTGCCAATCATCCTCCGCTCCTCTTAACATCTGCACAACGGAATAACAAAATACTGGCATTCATCTCCTCTCCCAACCCTTTAAACCTTCCTCAGTGGGGAATCAAAGAGTCAGCCTCAAAGAGCGATGCCCTATCCAGAAATCTCACCCCATCCTGGCGCTGAAGCTGCCAGCTCAACAAAATTTGTCACTCAGTTTTAGCCCAGAAGACGCCTCATGTGGCTGAATAGTCTGTACTTGTCATTGTGCTCATGGCTGACTTACAAAATCCTGACTCTGAACTTTCCTCAGCTCCAACTCCGCGTATCACCCTCGCGAGCTGCCATTTCAAGGCATTGGATGCGTTTGCTCCTCAATGTCACCCCTGTTATCAAATCACACAAGCAGACAACCTTCCACAATCTGAATACGGTTAGCATGTAAATACTGCAGGAGGAGCCGTTTTTACCTGTTTTGTCTCACAAATTCAGGCAGTGTAGATGCAAATAGTGCAGCTGTGCACACATGATGTCATTATAATTTCAAGTGTCAATAATGAAAGGGTCCAGCTGCACACAAATAGGAGGGTTCGGTCTGCCAGGGACTGTGCATGAATGGAGAGTCGATTGGTGCTGCACCTCGGCTGTGAGAGCAGAATTATTTGACTGGCCGGTGCACAGCCTGCCCTGGATTATGCTTTTCATTTAAAGCAGACATGGAAAAAGAAAAGGCCTTACATACAAAGTGTGATTATAGGACATCGGGGGCTTGTAGTGGCCTAACCTCTGTAAGGGTGCAGCCACATCCTCCCAGAGGGAACAGCATTTGATTTTATATGCTGCACACATCAGTCTGGTTCAGTTTGGCATCAAAAAGTTGGAGAAAATGTGCTGTTTAGACAAGAATGAAAATTATCTTTGCTCTTTGGGCATCATTGTAGCTACATAATGGCTCCGAAAAAGTGTACTGCAACTGGTAATTATCCAGGCCTTTTTCATTTGGATAATTTTGATGTGTCACAGTAGAAAAAGCACAGGTATAAAAAGAAAAAAAAAGAAAAATAAAGATGGCTGAAATCCATGTAGCTGCTTCAGTTTCTGGCTCAGATTGCAGGCGTCATTAATGTCATTAGCAACATCTCAGCTGCTGTGTGACAAGTCAAAATGTCAGCTGTGAAAAAGCTCTAAATGGTCAGTTTGTTAACACACACACAATGCATAAACACTTGGATGAAGGTAAATTAAGCTTTACATGCACAAGAAGACACAGAAAGGAACATGACAGAGCCAAAAAATACAGTCCAGCTGTAACAAAATAATACCACTGTGATTTCAGGCTTGGCAACTTCTGTTAAAACAAACAAATGAATTATTAGCAAAGAATTAGGTCCAGATATCCTCACTGTTTTTTTTTAAGCAAGTCTCTGTTTGCTTGAAGAATATCTTTATTTCTAATAACATTTCAATAAAGTTAATATAATGGTCTAATGTCAACGTTTAGAGGATGTTATCAAGAACACAGATTATATTCTATGATAACAAAATAGCAACGTTTTCCAATCAATATCCCAAAAGTGTTTTCCAGATTTTATCAAGGCCTCAGTTGATTTTTTATTTTAATTTTTTTATAAGACATTCCTGTCATGTGATATTTGAACAAAAGTGGAACATGTGGACACAGTGTTCTGAAAATGTTTTGAGAATGTTGTTGAGGTTTCCTCACTGATAACAAACTTTCACCGCCATACCAAGACCTGTCATGACAGAACGCTCTTTGTAAGACGTTTCCCTAATGTGATATATTTTAAAAAGTGGAACTTTCTGCTTGTAATGTTCTCAGGGATGTCATTGACGGGACACATTGTTGAAACTGCACAACATTTCCACAATGTTACATGACAAACATCTGAGGAACATTCTAAGTGCAAGATTCAGTTTAGCAACATTAGAGCATAACATTCAAACAATGTAATCACCAACCATTTCTAGAACGTGGTTAGTTGGCCTACCTTTAGGAAGAACATTCTGGGAACTCAAAGAAAACTTCCCGCTGAAAACAATAGTAGAACTTTGCGAAAATTTCACAAAACATTTTTGGAACAAAAAAATTCTACCAGGATGACGTTACCTACAAGTTCTAGTAATTATTTAAAGAAAAGGTTTTAATAAATGGGTGGCTGTGGCTCAGGTGGTAGAGTGGTTGTCCTCTGATCATAAGGTTGGTAGTTCGATCCACAGTCAACGTGTCCTTGGGCAAGACACTGAACCAGAAGTTGCTCCCAATGGCAGGCAGCACCTTGCATGGCAGCTCTGTCACCATTGGTGTATGAATGTGTGTGTGAATGGATGAATGAGAAAACATTGTAAAGCGCTTTGAGTGCCACTGAGGTAGAAAAGCGCGATATAAGTGCAGTCCATTTACCATTTTCCATAAAACACTTAAAGAACATTTTCAATCACATTCCTAAAAAGTTGACACCACGTTTTAATGCCAACTTTCAGAGGATGTTACATGATTAAAAAAAGAAGAACGTTCTCAGTGCAAAATGTAGTTTTGAGAACATCTTAAGTTATTCTAAGAAGAATTGTGGGAACTAAAAGAAAATTTCCCACTGAAAACATTAACATAATTTTCACAGAATATTTTGCAAACAAAAAACTGTAGCTGGGATATTGTCATACGCCTGAGTATGTCAGGTTTATTTGAAAAAAGGAAATGTTCATTTGCAAGATGCCGATCTTTTTCCTGTAAACAAATGTTCTATTTCCTAGAAAATGAAGCAGTCTTATGAAACAATCAGCACGGACACAAAATGTCTCATAAATTATGTCCACACAATCCCATTTTGACTAACAAGAAGAACATTCCTGGGAATTGAATTTGGATGACGCTCCTGCCGAACCTTGCATGGTCCACTTCTCCTTAATAATGAAATTTGAAAATAGGCTCAAGAGCTTATATTAATTTCGTTGATGTTATTTTTTTGGAATGTGTAGCAACACAGCAGACAGTAAAAACAACTCTGTTGTTGTCTGAACCAGCTTCATTGCAGGGAAACACCCTGGCTCAGTCACCAGTCCTTCACACATATCAGCCTCTAACAATGACCGACTCACACCTACATTTACACACAGTGCAGCGTGAGCAATTTAGAGACTCCACAACACTTGCATGTCTGTGGACTGTGGGTGGAAACCCACTCAGACATGTGCAGTAAAGGCTGTCATTCAGTGCTGAACAAATTGTTCAAGCTGCTGCAACACATGCACATTCAGTCCCATTGTGCACTATAATATGTTTCAGCCAGAGAGCACCGTTTTATACCTCCAGTCCCACAGATGCCTGTTAGGTGTAGTTTGAATTAAATGATAAGAAATCGTAAATTTTCCATTTGGATATAGGTTTTAATCATTCTGATACAGCAGCATTCCGACTAGACTTTTTTTTTTAAAAAACCACAAATATTTAATGGATAAACGAGTCACAGCGTCTGGCTGTACATTTCTTATTGACTTGGAATAAAAGCTAGAGCAAAGAAAACAACAGAACAGAACTATGACTCAAGCTGGTATCATTCTCCAGTGCTGACATGCTGCTGTGGAGATATGTCTGTGTGAGAGTAAACTGGTGTGGAACTGTGAGAATAAATAAAGCTGTGAGAACAAAATACCACCAATCAGCCGCGACATTAAAACCGCTGACAGGTCGAATAAATAACGCTGATCATCTTGTTCCAGTGGCACCTGTCAAGTGATTGGATATATTAGACAGCAAGTGAACAATCAGTTCTTGAAGTTGGACACAGAATAATGGGGCAAGCGTAAGGATTCTTTGACAAGAAACAAATTGTGATGGCTTGCCAACTGGGTCGGAGCATCCATCTCCAGAACAGCAGGTCTTGTGGTTGGTAAGTGGTCCAAGGAAGGATGAACATGTGACAGGGTCATAGGTTCCTTAGGTTCACTGATGCATGTGGGGAGTGAAGCCTGATGAAAAGAGCCAGTGTACCACTAACTGGTGAAAACTGTAATACTGGCTTCGATAGCAAGGTATCAGAACACACAGCGCAGCACAGTTTGCTGCTGGTGTCGTGGCTGACTGGTGCCCACAATGACCCCTGTCCACCACTAAAAGCACCTACAGTGAACATTTGAGCATCAGAACTGGACCGCAGAGCGAATCAGGTTTTCTTTTACATCTTGTGGACGGCTGGATGCGTCATTTACCTGGAGAAGAGATCATGGCTGGATGCACTGTGGGAGGAATACAAGGCAGTCGAGTCAGCGCGATGTTTTGAGGAATGTTCTGCTGGGAAACCTTGTGTCCTGAGTTCATGTGGATGTTATGATGACATGTCCCACCTACCTAAACACTGTAGCAGACTAAATCCACAACTTCACAGTGAAGGTGTTTACCTTTATTTGAGGAACTTGACAAAGAGTTCAAGGTGTTACCTCCAAATCCCCCAAATCTCTGTCTGATCAAGATGTGATGGAAAAAGAAATTCAATCAATGGAGGCCCCACTTGCCAACTTCCAGGACTTAGAGAACCTGCTGCTCATGTTTTTGTGTCTGATCCCACAGGACACCTTCAGAGGTCTTGTGAAGTTCATTCCTCCAGTAGTCAGAAGTGTTTCTGGGGCATGAAGGCGACCTACACCATATTAAGCAGGTGTTTTAATGCTGTTGCTGATTGGTGTGCAGTGCGGTATAATATAGTAAACAGGAATGACAGACAAATACCACAAAGTCCCTAGAGTGTATTACCTTTCAGTAAAATGGAAACACAATAAATGGGCTGTCGGGATTTTCGGCGTGAGTGATGATCGTGTAGCAGAGAACAAAAAAGGAAGCTGTGAGACAAACAGATTCAAAGACTGGAGGAAATAGAGGAAAATGACTTCTGATTGTCAGCCATTGTTCGTGTTCTCTCCTTCCCCATATGCTTAATAATTCTCTTTGGAATATTCAGTCTTCTCTCTACGCATGCTCTGCATTCAGCTCCCTGACATGAA